TTTCTTGAGTTATTTTCTGGAAGCCGAGTGTGTTGTTTTTCATAAAAGTTTACTCGAAATCGCCGTTTAGTTTTCGTGCTTAACACACTACATTTTTGGGGTATATTAATTTAAGTTTTTAATGATTTCTCTCCAAATTCGAACCTGTTGTGTTACACATGACAACCAATCAGGAGATATAATTTTACTCCAATACATCAATTTTTTTTTGAGTTATTGTCTCCACAAACAGGGGATTGTTTTTATTCCATGAAGGTTGACTCAGATTCGCCTTGTATTTTTTGCGTTTACGCGCCACATTGTCTTTGCTATATTTTATTATTGGGGAACGATTCATATCCAAATTCGAGAGATTTGATTTATATATCACGTTAAATCACTATGGAATATTTCAATGCAATGCATCAAACATTTCTTGAGTAATCGTCTCCACAACGAGTAGGTTTTGTTTTTGTTCCATGAACGTTGACTTAAACGCGTCTTCTATTTTTCGTGCTTAACTCACTTATTCTTTTGTTTATATTTTTTCATGGATTAATAATTGCTCTCCATATTCAACGTCTTTTGGTATTTCTTGAGTTATCGTTTGGAAACCGAGTGTTTTGTTTTTGTGTCACGAACGTTGACTTCAGTTAGGTGTCTCGTGTTGACAAAACAATATTTACGATGGTGACCTCTATTTGTGAAGCGCGCCCTCTTTTGAAAGAAAATTAAAGCTGACTTAATGAGGCAGGTTTTTCTCCGTTTTAATACAACGCATTTTTTTGTTACATTCTTTTTATTACTAGACAATGGCTCTCCATTTTTCACAGATTTTTGTAATCTACAACATTTAATCAATTTACGAAATGTCAATTTCATGCAACATGTATTTCCTGAGTTATCTTCCCGGAAACCAAGCGTGTTGTTTTTGTGTCATCGAATAAGTTCACTCAAAACCGCGAGTTTTTTTTTTGCGCTGAACACACTACATTTTCGGGATATATTAATAATATTTTTTATATGACGACCAATCAGGAGATATAATTTTACTCCAATACAAGAATTATTTTTTCTAAATATTTAACAGGCAAGTGTTGCAAGTCATACTTAACATCTAGTCAAAATTTCAATCCCATAAAATGACTGGTTTTTGAGCAATCGTGTGGCGTAGGTGTCACACGATTTTCTGGAGGCCGTGACTTCACTTTGGATGGGCTTTGTCTGTGTTACTGAAATTATATTGCCGCCAATAATCTGTGTGTTTTCTCTCTCGATATTTATTATGCTTGTGTTGACTGTCATGCTCAACCTCTATAGGCAAAATTCCAAAGCAATATAACAAATAATTTTGAGTTATCGTGTGACATCATGTGTGAATGTGTAATAGTAAGGACAGTTTTCTGGACACGCGACTTCAATTGGGAATGCAGTTTTGTCGGTGTTACAAAAAACTATATTGGCGCCGATAATCTCTATTTTGTCTGTCAGTATTTAACAGGCTTGCGGTGCCAGTCATGCTTAACGTACAACTATATAGTATTGAGTAAAAAGTGATTTGTACAAATTTCATAGAACAAGAAAGAAAATGAGATCGAAACAATTAAATGTTTTAAACGTGAAAAATAATATCAAAATGAAACACCGCTCATGGCAAAATAAGTCACAACTCCATTTCAAGAAGAAAAGAAATTTCCAAGAGGTTCCTTTGTTTCCTCTTTTTCAAGGGCATTTTACCCAAACTCTTTCCAACAAGGCTCTTTGCTTTCTGATTGTCTTGCATAGAGACAGCTGTACCCAGCGGTTTAATCTTTCAATAGAGGGCGCACCACATGCACAGGGGTCGCTACTGCTAACACGCAGAGTCAACACGAACTGGTATTTAATAAAAAGAAGACACTCATGGTTCGGGCAATATCTCATGGAATACTAAACGTTTTAACTCAGTATTTCGTTGAGTAATCGTTCATAATGGGTTACGATCGCCAGTACAATTTCTAGTGAATTTGTCAAAGAACAAAACAAATGTGAGCGAAACAACTTAGTGTGTTAAACCTGAAAAATACATTCGAATGAACATCATCGTAAATGACAGAAAATACTATATGGTTCGGTTGAAAAGTCACAATTTGCAAATTGTATTTCAGTGAAATTCCGACCAATAATTCGTCATAATGTATCACATTCAGGAGTATATTTTCATGGGAATTCGTTGAATAAGAACGAAACGAGATCGAAACGAGATAGTGGACTGAAGTCTGTGCGCGGTGAGCGGTGTTTGTTTAGCGCGCCCTCTTATGGAAGAAATTGATGCGTGACGATAAAAATAACACGGAGTGTCCTCACAATGCTAATTCCTTCAATTGTGTTTACACTGTTGAGGCAGAGAAAACGACATTTTTTATTCTCAATTTTCTACCTTGTTTGTCTTTTTTCATGACCAATCATCTAGCCAGAATTCAATTCAATGTGTCTTTTAATTTTCTGAGACAGCGTGTCTACCTGGAATGTCATTTCTGTGCAAAAGTGAGGCAAATGTTCTGTTTGGACTGTGACTGCAGCCTATAGCCAAGTTTTTCTCCGTGTTGACGGAGGACACTGCTGATGGTGAGAAAAACAATGTTTTGTCTCAATCTTCTGTCTTGTTTGTCTATTTCTCACGACCAATTATCTGGCCACAAGTCAATTCGATGCATCACTTAATTTTTGAAATAGCTTGTCCAGCACAGTACATCTATGATTGCCAATGAAGGATATGTTTTGTTTATGAGACTATAGCATTACACTTGAAACCACCTTTCATCATATCAATCCAAATATTGTTAACATTGTAATTGACCTTGAAAAAAAACGGTGTAATTTTGCGACAGTCACATGCACACTACATTGTTTCTTTTCAGTGAAAAGTTCAGGCTTTTAAAGTAGCTCTACCCGCATTGTTTGGTTTACTAGTTTAAACAATGTAACCACTTGATTTTCTATTTCGCCCTCGGACGTTTCACGCCGTCACAGAAAAAAATTATAAGCTTTATTTTAGATTCGAGGGATTTATTGGGCTCTCTATCAAAATTCTCTAATTAAACGTGGGCGGATCGTTTCGATAGATGTCTCCATTATTACAAAGTGCAAAGCTTTCATATTGCTAGAAAAATAGCAATTTGAAAACAAAATGTATTTTTTATTGTCAAAACTAAAAAAATTGCACGGGCAAGCAACTATAAACTGATCACTTAATTCCGGTTATGCCATTCTACTTGTCCGATATAGCGCCCTCTGTTGAAAATTTGATGAGCTCTCTCTATTGATATACATAAACAGCCAATTTGTGATCCAATAAATAGCGCACTCTATTGAAAAACAAAACAGCGCCCTCTACTGACCATACAGTTACCAACTCGCCCCCTTACCAACTCGCCCCACTTGTTTGCCCCAAACGGGAAAGGTCAATAGAGGGCGCCACTCATCTTATCAATAGAGGGCGCTATTTATCGAATCAATAGAGGGCGCAGTTCTTTTATCAGTTGACAGCTGGCGCCAGATATCACCACATGGGGAAATTGCAACGTGATCCACAACTCGTTTTGGGGAAAGGTAAATTTCAGAATAAAATACAGGATTCTTGTGGAGCAGTTATTCAAGATCAGCGTAGTAAGACACTCGTAACGTGAATGTATACATGTAGTTTTGTCCCATTCTGACTAATAAAAACGTAATAAATTATGCTGGCATGGCTGGCAAAAAAAATGTCAGTTAAGTTAGGCCTAGGGCTAGGCTAGGCCTTGTTTGAGTTTGCATGGACAGTCCTCAATTTTCGGAAGAATTGCTCCTTTAGTACACGTCCAGCAAATACCAACTCACGCTTTATTTAGCCGTTATAAATGGAGTGTCATGGCCTAGCGGTTAAGAGCACCGGACTCATGTTCTGGTGTTTCAGAGGCAACAATGTCACGTGGGTCCGAGCCCGCCGGCGGACACTTGTGCTTAAGCAAGGCACTTGACCATTCTTGCTTCGTTCTTTGGATGGGACGTAAAGCTGTAGGTCCCGTGTGTTGTATAATGCACGTTAAAGACGTGTTCGCTAAGAGAAGGGGTTCGCCCCGGTGTCCTGGCAGTGGCCGCAGCAACTTATAATAAACCAATGAAAGGTGCTACATAATGGGTCTCATATTTCTCATGTACTTCATTCATCTAATAATAGACATAACTGCCAGTGTCTTGAGTACCTATACTCCGTTGCGATAATGCCTGAATAGGCTTCTGCAACGTAACCATTAAAAGTGCCTTTCTGTTATCCTACGGTTTTCATAGAAATTGATGAGTGCATGCCATGAGCAGCCAGTGATGCAAGACACAGAGTCAGAGGAATGCAGCATATGCAATTGATGGCAGTACAGATAGCAGGTTGATCTCCAATGGGCAGCTGACATGGAAAGAATGTTGCAACCTGACGCCACTTCAGCAGTACAAAGTCTATGGTGAGTCCAAAAAATTGAAGTATTTCCTAACATTAAAATTGCAAATGTTTCTTAGTCCTAGATTCATGTCTTAGCATAATTTTTGCAATGACTGTCCTTCATTGAGATGATGTATGAGGAAAACGGCAGAGTCATATTCTTTTTTTTGGCCTAATAGAGAGTCGGGAACTAGGACAGCTTTTATGGGCGGAAACCAGTTCAAGCTAGTTCCCGATTGTCTTTTACCATTTGAAATCCACTTGTGTTCACAAGCGAGATCCAGTCTACTCATTATCATAATCGATGCTTCGCGCTCGGTAACGGAATCGCACTTGGGATATGGGGACCATTGAATGTACGCTGGGCATGAAGACTACATCACGTCGTTCAAACATTAACTTAAACACGAGTCGGAAATTTAACGTGTTCATGATCGCGAGGGGAGCTCTCAGAATTGAACGGGTGTCACAAGGTCCACCATAATCGGGACAATTGTGAGGGTGATACAGTGTAAAAGAAACCATGGAAAATGAACTTCACCAACAAAAGTAATGCGAGACACTTGACCAATTGTATGGAAATAAAGAAATTTAATACAACCAACTAACTTAATCAAAATAAATTACAATATTTACAATTGACATTTAATTACAATATAAATCCCCACCACCAACATAAGAATACCGGCACGGACACGAACAGAGACATCGGGTTACGGGTGTCGACGGCCTCCAGTGGGTGACGTCCAGTCCACAGGATTCTGGTCGTCGGCGCGGCGCTCCCGGTAGCTCATCGATGGAACATTCAGGTGAAAAAGCGTGTCCCCGTTCCAACCAAAAAAACCCTGAAATTCAATTATCAATATTACCTCTAAATAATTTTATTCTACTTCACACAGGTTTTCTTTCCCAAACATTTTAAACAGAAACCCATCATAATCTCATGCTTCACTCAGTTATTCTAATACAAAATAAATACCAGTAACTTGTGTCCTTAGCATGGCCCTATTACAGTTCAAAAATTGCTGTCTCAAGTTTCAAATAATGATACAGGCATGACATGAATACTTACAGAATAAATCTGGCTTTTGAGGTAAGTGACTTAGTAGCCCCCCGAACTCGGCAAACCCATTGCCAAACGGGCGTCTTCAAAATTCATCGGCATCAGGCCGGCAATACACAAATTTGAGCGCCTATCCGTCGGCCTTCCCCAAACTGGAGAGCAAAACAAGGGCCTCAATACCCCCGTGTCCTCGAGCCGGTGAGTAAGCTACTAAGTGACGCATCACTCCAAACATTTCATTTTATACCACTCCAAACATATTTGTTGGGATTAACCACCCGATCCTAACAGACCAACAGCATTGCAGCTCTAAAATTCTTAAACCATTCTTCAAATGACATTCTACAAATGTGGGGTTCACCTGAGCAATTTGCATGTTTAAACCAAATAAGGAACAGAGCTCTTTGTATTACACCCAAGCAAGTAAACCTTTCCCTGTGTGGTAGTTGACAAAAGATATCTCAACACGCGAATGCACATGGTTTAAAGTGGCAACTAGTGTCAAATCAACCATTAAATTTGTAGTTTAAAGTGAGTTTCATTACATGTATTAAACGACCATGATTTTAACACTTCTTCACCAAATTTCATATAATCATAAACAATAATCTTATACAACAATAACAAGGACTCTTATCCAATTATAAGGACCAAACTTATACAATCACAATCATAATCAAATAGATCCCACAAAATAATTAATTTCTCAAATATATTGACGTTTGTGACACTTCCCCATGCTAAGAAGATACGTTTTAATGGATCTTTCTATAACTGTCACCAAATCAAATTCAATATTACATATCCTTAGAATTAATTACTCCTCTATTTGACATCTACTTAAGAAATCAGCTCCATGGTTCTCTGAACCCTTGACAACTCTGACCATATACTTGTATGGCTGTAGGGCAAGTGCCCATCTCATCACTCTGTCGTTATTCAATTTTGCCTTTGCAAGGTAGGCCAGTGGATGGTGATCAGTTTCTAGAATAAACTGTGTTCCAAATAAGTACACATAGAACTTTTTCACCGCCCAAACTAGAGCGAGACATTCCCGCTCGATCACGGAGTATGCTTGTTCCCTGGCTAACAATTTTTTGCTTGCATAACAGACCGGGAAATTTTCCCCCTCAATTTCTTGCATCAACACCGCCCCGATTCCTTTATCGGAGGCATCAGTCCTCAGAATATAGGTCATAGATTGGTGATGTTGCCAATCTTGTCTTCAGGGTTACAAAAGCATGTTCCTGTCCTTCATTCCATTCTACTCGATTAGATTTGCCTTTCTTCACCAAGTCAGATATCGGTGCTGCAATTGCAGAGAAGTTTGGGATGAATCTAGAATAGTATCCTACTAAACCCAAAAATGACCGTACTTCTTTCTTAGTTTGTGGTCTCTCAGCTTTCATAATTGCTTCAACTTTAGCAGGCACTGGCTTCAACACTCCCTCTCCTACAACATGGCCTAGAAATTCTAGTGAAGTGTACGCAACAAAGCATTTACTTGGTCTTGCTGTTAAGCCAACTTCACGCAAGCGTTCTAACACCAACTGAACATCTTTCAAGTGGTTTTCAAATGTGTCTGAAAATATCAAACAGTCATCTATGTAATTGATCACATTGTCAAAACCCTCTAACAACAAACGCATCATACGGGTGAAAACCGCAGGAGCATTGACCATGCCAAACGGGAATACAGTGAATTGGAAAAGACCTCCTTCAGATGTAATAAATGCTGTCTTATCTCTATCACTCTCTTTTACTGGGATTTGCCAATACCCCTTTGACAGATCGAGTTTTGTGAACCATGTACCCTTCGATATCTTCGAAAATAAATCCTCAATGTTCGGGATTGGCTCTGGGTCGAATATTGTGACAGAATTTAATTTTCTGTAATCTATGCAGAATCTCAATGATCCATCACTTTTTGGTACAAGAACAATAGGAGATGCATATGGTGAAGTGGATTTTTCAATCACTCTCATTTGCAACATTTCATCAATTTCATGTTTCAATGAATCTCTTCTAGCATGAGGTACAGTGTATGGTTTGGATTGCACTGGGTCTGATGTAGTAAGTTTCATAGTGTACTCTACAAGATTCGTTTTCCCTGGCACATCAGTTAATACATCATGGAATTCATCCAACAGTTCTTTAACCTGACCTACTTCATTCTTATCACATTTGTCACTGATATGAACATTCTGCACAGTTTCTTTTGGTTTCACAGGGGGGAATTCAACTTCATCTAATACTTCATAGTCATGATCATTTAGTATACCTGCACCTACATTTTCTAGGCAAGCACTTGCATGTGTTATTTCATCATTCTGTCTCTCTACATATTTCTTCAACAAATTCGCATGATAAATCTTGTCCTTTCCCTGTTTGTCTATCACATAATCATTCTTGCCAACCTTTTTAGTCACTTCAAACGGGCCTTGCCATTGCACTAACAATTTGTTTGAATCAGTAGGCAAAAGCACTAGCACTTTATCACCTTTAGTGAACTTTCTGTCCCTAGTTCGCACATCGTAATACTTCTTGTATCTCTTGGCTGACTTAGCAAGTTCATCCTGGGCTAACTGACAAGTTCTTTCTAGCCTATTTCTTAACTCTACAACATACTCATATGTGGTCTTAACTTCCTCTTCATCATTTTCCTTTGACCAAAGTTCTCTTAGTATGGCGAGGGGACCCCTAACTGTACGTCCATATAGTAATTCGAAAGGGGAAAACCCTAGGCTTTCTTGTGGCGCTTCTCTATACGAGAACAAAAGTGCGGGAAGATACCTATCCCAGTCCTTTGGACGCTTTACACACATGCGGCGTAACATGCGTTTCAATGTACCATTAAATCTCTCACAAAGACCATTGCATATTGGGTGATACGGAGTTGTGTGAAGCTGTTTCATGGAAATTAATCTACTAACTTCTTTCATTACTTCAGCTGTAAATTGAAAACATGCAAAGCAAGAAAAAAGACTGGCACCTGAAACAACCAGTCCAACACAGCTTCAGTACTGCATCAATCAACCATGCCAAAAGAATTAAAGAAACATGTGGCATGAAGCGGGAACTAGTCTCAATTTACTACACATTTCTCCATAGTCAACCACCAGACTATTGACACTGAATGAAGAGGTCAGTCTTTTCAAATAGTTGGACCACATGGTCATGATGGTTGGACATGTACCAGTCTAGTATTTAGTCCCATTTTGAAATCACTTGATGTCCCTCTCATGTGCAAAATATTGAAGAAAAATCTCCTTTAAAAATTGAATTGAGTCTCCAAACTTGGTTGGTGAAATACTGAGGACATTTTCTTTGCCCGTTTTGTTTTGTTTCAGAGCACTCCAGAGCCCTGTCTGCTGTAAGTGTAACTTAGCCCTAGTCCTAGCCCAGGTTGGACTCTGTTGTGTACACGCAACGGAGTCCAGGGTATGAATCTCTCCTGCCATAGCGAAAAAAGTTTTAACACATTTAGTATTAGTAAATATTGCTTGAGATTATTTATGCTTATTGAATTCTTCTCATTGTCTTGGGTAATGTATTTTTTTTTCATTAGAAAATTGACGTGACAGGTCACACAGTGGATGATTTGGTAAACAAGACAATAGAATAACTTCAGCCCAATCCAGGTAAGAACCATAATTGAAACATCATTGACGCTAACCTTCCCAAATCCTCCAAAGTCCAATTTGCAAAATGGAGGCTTTTGCAGCATTGAGGCTACATGGCAAAAATGTGTGCCTGATTTATGAGGATGCACTGTGTCAAGGTCTTGGGCCGGATCTTGTGTTGTTCCCTGAGCTCAGGGAACCAGACTAGCTGGCTTGCATCCATTCACGGATGTGTAACCGCTTGCAAAAAAAATGTGGACTAAATAAATTGGGTAAATTGAGGCACTGTTTGGAAAAATCAGTTTCTTCCAACGATGGTCGCTGACCAACTTTTGAAATCAATACAAAAATTCCACTTTTCTTAAAAATGACAGCACACCAGGTGCCATGATTTCACAGGATGTCTGAGACTGTCATTCACCTACAGTCAAGTAAAGTATTTCATAATAATTTGGTAGTTTTGTTTGTTGATGTTTGCAAATGTCGTATATTACCTTTAATTGTAACCTTTGGAATAATTACGTTTGGGGTGACTATAGAACACCGGTTTGAATCGGGTCTAAGTATTCACTTCAAACAAACCAAATAGAGATAGGTCTTCTATTTGTGTGCTGACCCTAATCAATCGTATTGTCTTTCCTGAACAGTCTCCAGAGCCATGAGTAAAGTCCGTGGTCAGAACAAAGGAGGAACCAAGCCTCAACAACCCGTAGGATTCCTGGGAGAAGTCATGCTGAAGAACGGCAGAGAATTAGGAGAAGATTCAACGTTTGGTGAGCAAGCTTCAAGATGTATTCTCTTTCCTTCTGTGGTAGACTGATCATAAAGCTCTCAAAAAGGTGCTCTAATCAGCGTTCCAATCCACCTGCCTTTTTTGCACCCACTTTGTAATTTTTTTTTTTTTTTAATTTATAAATGCATGCATTTGCAATATACAGGTAAGTCAAAAAAGATGAAACCCAAATAACAGGACCAATTTTTGAATAAAGTTTTGCCTGTAGCACTTTCCAAATCTAGCATATGAAAGCCCAATCAATGGGCTTTGTTTTAGCGCAAGAATCATTCACATCACTCATGAACTTTTAAAGTTGCTTAATTTTCAACACAAACACTGTTTTAAAAGTTCTGTCCACGGATCACAAAAAGTGTTTTTTCAGTAAAATGAAAACAATTCGCATGCATCCCTGTGAGAATTGTTATCACTTTGCTGCAAGAACACTTCCTATTTTTGTGATGTGTGGACAGAACTTTAAAACGGCGGATGTGTTCAAAATTTTGTAACTTAAAAAGTACATGAGTGATTGGAATGATTCTTGTACTAAAAGAAAGTTTAATGACTGGGCTTTCATATATCCTGGATTTTGAAAGTGCTACAGGAAACACTTCAATCAAAAGTTGGTCCAGCCGTTTGGGTTTCGGTTTTTTTACTCGCCCTTTATTTGGCAAATTTGTCAGTTGTCTGTTTATTTGTTTCCAACAATATTGTAGCTACATGTACTAGTACAGCAGATAGGTGATGGGATTGTGCCTTTGATGATACAAGCATGGCATTTGGCACACAGTCAGAGTATGTCATGAGAAAGATATTTGGCCATAGGGCCATCGTAGATTTGTCCTTTGAACAAATATAGACAAATCCGAAGGCAGCCATTTTCTGCGGTGGCGCAATGTTTGCGCGAGTCGCACTCAGGTAGGGGGTGTGCTCTAGGCTCCTTTGACCAATAAGAATACCAAAATGCACGCGCGCCTCGTCTTTAAGAACGCGTTCAGTATGCGTGTGAGCGAGACACCACCGCAGTAAAAACCTGCTAATTCTGGTCGCCAGATTCCACTATAGGTAGTAAAATGACCAATGGCAGCCATTTTGAAAATTTTGAATATTGCTTGTTAACTAGATTTTTTCAAAGGACAAATCTGTGATGACCCTTTTATAAGACATACTCTGACTGTGTGCCAAATGCCATGCTTGTATCATCAACTTTAGGCACAATTCTCACAAATATTTCCGCTGAATAATGCATTTCACAGACCATCCCAGCTCCCGTGGTAAACATAGCCCAGCTGTTCTCATTTTGGTGGAAACATCAGAACAATAAAATCTTGCATTTTTATTTTGGATACAGGTACGGCGATGGTCGAGCGAATTGCTGAGGCAACTTTCTGAAGTCAAGAACGCCTTCGATCTGAACGTCAGACAGAAGTTCCTGGATCCCCTGGATCATCTCAAGAACAAAGATCTGAAGGAGATCAACGTGAGTTTCATCTTACAAAATCTAACATCACCCATTATCTGGTTGATTCTGATAGAATCAGGACTGTGTTGCACAGCCACGTTCGGGGAAATTCAAGCACAAATTAGGGAAAATGGAAAAGCATAAAGCCACATCAGAATGAAGTGGCTACGGCTAATACATTAGTTGCACCTATGAAAGCAGATGAAGCCACTTCCCATGTGGGCTAGTGTTAGTCGTAGCCATGTCATTCAGACATGGCTAATGCTCACTAAC